GCTAAGGGTTCTAATAATGCTATACTAGCCAAGTCTTGGAGGGTTTGAACTTGTATCTTCAATGACTTGTTTCTGTTCCTAAGTAAAGGGAGGGGTTTCTAAGGGGGTTAGGTTAAAAGGGGTGGGTTTCAAGAGTCCACTGGTGCCAAAAGCTGATGGAATATTGGGTAAACAATATAAGAGGTATAAAGGATTGAAAGATCCCAATATCCTCTCCGGAGAACAAATACTCCCCTTATTATATCAACAGGACGGGAGTCAATTGTTCTCCCATGTCCTGCCCCAGTGAGAAAGGGGAAGGGATGAAAGAATAGGTGGACTAACAAGTCTACTGGATGGAAATTTTGGATCCACCAAAGAATTATACTGTGGATCCACCAAGGAATTATACTGATTAATAAAATTAATCCAACTATTTTCTTGCAAGTTATGACATCCTTGTGTCCAGCACTCTGCCAGATGCCATACATAAGCTCCTCTTTCAGAGGTACGTCTATCCCTGCCGTTAAAAGAGCAATGAGGTTATTGGGGAAGACAATAGCAACACCTTATAAGAGTTTTACAGAACAAGCAATGAACTGGGGGGTAAAAATGTTTAAAAAGGGACCTAACTTCCTCAGGAAGGACCTGTCCTATTGTAGAAAAGAGAGTAAGGGCCAATGGGGGCATTCACCAATGGATTAGAGCAAAAATAGTCATAATAATTAGATAGGACCCAGCCAGTGCAATTCTTTCATTATGAGTCCATGACACAGGAGTCACGGTGTATATTCTGATAGTAAACCCTATGCCAGCAACCCCTAATATAATCCAACAAATAATATAGGGTGGGATTATCAAATGATGGTGGTGGATCTTTTGGGGTCATAGTAAACAAACTAAAAGAAAGGTAAAGAAAAAAAAAGAAAGGTAAAGAAACAGATTTCTTCAGGATGAAAATCAGAAAGAGTTCCTTGTAAAAAAAAATTAGAAACCTAAGAAATTATGTGTTCAACAGAATCTGACTCTGGATGAGTCCAATCTTCTATAAGATAAGTTACAAACTATGAAAAATGACACGTTAAACAGATGACATGAAACAAAGAATACACTAGGGTTGTGCCTTGTCCACCTTTTTAAGCCCTATCTTTGCAATAGGCTGGGCCCTATAAATCCCATACTGGGTTGACCTGAGGGTCGATTTCGCCACTTAGCTATATGATAGAGTTGTGGACCAGAGCACAACCTGAGGACCAATTTTGCCACTTAGCCATATGACAGAGTTGTGGACTAGGACTGCTTCCCCTCAACACACACCATTCACTCACATTCAACATATAATAGACCTGACCTGGGCTCCCTATCGAGCCCCCAGACCATCACTGAGCTGTGTTCGGTAAGTTGACAGACTTACCGGTAAGAACCCAGACCCAGATGAGTCCTTCCTTTCTTTTAATTGTATTTAATTTAAAGAGAGTTGAACCCAAGGGTCTGAGTCGGCCTCAATCCCGGGCTGAGGTACGTCTCTCAGTGGCCGCCCCCTGGAAAGAGACTGGGCTGTCCGTGATCACACCTGGTTTGTCTACGTGGAAAGAAAAAAAATCCCTGGAAATCTCGCTGGGGCCTCCAGATGTTATAGAGTGTGAGATTTTTAAAGGACCACCAGAGACATCAATTAATTAAAGCCAATTTTAGGAATCTTTATTAGGTTGGCCAACCAACTTTTCCTCTACGTGGATATAGAGGGAATAGCACAGGCCATGAAAAGGGAAGGGTTTATATAGGGTAAATTATCTCTACTATCAGGTGCTACATGCAATCCAGCCAGCAATCAAGCAAGCAACCAACCTATTTTTGTCATCAGTTTGTTACAAAAGCATTACAGCACTTGCATTTACAACAGTCACAGATCACAAGTTACAGATCACAAAACTGAGTGGGGAAACAATTTTACTCTGAACAGTGGGTCAGGCAAAATTGTGGTGTCATGCTGGTGGCTACTCTGTTTGTTCTTTAATTTTTTTATTTTAGCTACTTTACTTCTTCCAAGCAAGGGCAAGGGATTACAGGGGGTTTCTTTTATTTATTTATTTATTTTTTGAGACAGAGCTTCAAGCTGTCCCCCTGGGTAGAGTGCTGTGGCATCACAGCTCACAGCAACCTCCAACCCCTGGGCTTAAGCTAGTCTCCTGCCTCAGCCTCCCAAGTAGCTGGGACCACAGGTGCCTGCCACAATGCTCGGCTATTATTTTTTGGTTGCAGCTGTCATTGTTGTTCGTGGGCCCGGGTTGGATTCAAACCCACCACCTTGGGTGTATGTGGCTGGCACCTTAGCCACTTGAGCCACAGTCGCCGAGCCTACAGGGAGTTTCTTATCCTATCTCAGTAGCTCACAACAATCTCCAACTCTTGGGCTCAAGCAAATCTCTTGCCTCAGCCTTCCAAGTACCTGGGTCTATAGGTGCCTGTCACAATGCCTGGCTATTGTTTTTTTATTTTTTAAGAGAGGGAGTCTTGCTCTTGCTCAGGCTGGTCTCCAACCTGTTGAGTTCAGGCAATCCACACGCCTTGGCCTCCCAGAGTGCTATGATTACAGGTGTGAGCCACCGCATCCAGCCTGTTCCACCTTTTTGAAGAGTACTTTACCTTTTCTATATTAATACCACAGTGTGTGTGGGGGGGGGGTTGTGTGGGAGTTATCATCCTCAGTGTTTAGCCAGACTTGACATTTATGACAGGGAATGATTAGTCATAAGTTGAAGTATGTGACTGTTATCACCATCAACATTAAAAATAGCTCTGTCTTTTTTTTATTTTTTATTTTTGGAGATAGAGTCTTACTCTCTTGCCCAGGTTAGAGTTGCTTTGATGTCATCAGAGCTCACAACCTCAAACTCTTAGGCTCAAGTGATTCTTTTGCCTTAGCCTCTAGTTCTGTTGTTAGTAGAGAAGGGGGTCTCACTCTTGCTCACACTTGTCTCAAACTCCTAAGTTCTTGCAGACAAACTAGCTGCCTTGGCCTCCCAGAGTGCTAGGATTATAGGTGTAAGCCATTGTGCCTGGCCAAAAATAACTCTGTCTTAGAGATTGTCATTACTGTAATTTGTAGATTTGATTTTAACTGTGATTCCAGGCTGTGGAATATATGTTAGTGACCCTTGACATAGTTGGATTTTATTCTTTTTTAAAAAGTCTATTTTTAAATGTATTATAAAATTAATGTCTATATACATTGTAGAAAATTAAAAAATATAAAGGTAGAAAATAATCATTTTAAATTTCTCTCTGTAGAAGAAGACTATTATTAATATTAAAGTCATAATTAGAATTTCTCTCCAGTCCAAGAGTATATAAGTAGTTTATAGAACTGTTCAGCAATATTTCTGGTTCTCTTAACATGGTGAAATTATACTTCCCTGCCCTCTTCTAGTTAGGATGGCTGGGTGATTTCCATTTAACCAGTGAAATGTGAGAAGAATTGAGGTGTTAACTTCCAAGTTGAAGTTGTTAAGAGGAGGTTTATGATGGTTTGATGGAAATCCTTTTCTTTGCTACAGTGAAGTGTTCTAGGTGGTTGGAGGCTGGGTAGTTTGTATCCTTGGCCATGGACAGTGGGGTGCAGTCTTGTTTTCCCCAACCCCTGAGATGCTACATAAGCAAAAAGTCTTTGTTGTGGTAAGCCATTGCGATTATAGTGTTGTTTTTGACAGTTACAGAAACATGAAGTAGTGCATTTGGTAGTACTCAGCTACTGCTAGAAATTTACATGTTTAGATTCATTATATAATGTTCAAATATTTGTAAAATTGTTAAGGCTGTATTTTAAAATGATCATTAGCCTTCTTAACCTTTATATAAGTAGCATAGATAGAACTCAGCTTGTGTAGAGTACATGTTAAAAATTAAGGAGAAAGCTTTGTAGGGCAAGACTGAGGGAGAAACACCAGGTGAGCTGCATAGTGTACTTAGGAAACAAAGTCACAGAAGTCAGAGAAACATATTTAGCCTAGTTTTATTTTTATGAGAATCACAACAGGAATTTTTTTTTTGTTAATTTAAGAAAAGAGGGCTTGGCAGCCATAGTACATTGGTTATGGCGCCGGCCACATACACTGAGGCTGGTGGGTTTGAACCTAGTCCAGGCCAGCTAAAACAACAGTAACAACTGCAACAAAAAAATAGCCAGGTGTTCTGGTAAGCACCTGTAGTCCTAGCTACTTAGGAGGCTGAGGCAAGAGAATCGCTGAAGCCCAAGTGTTTGAGGTTGCTGTGAGCTGGGATGCCACGTTACTCTACCGAGGGTGACATAGTTAGACTCTGTCTCAAATAAATAAAAAATTTAAGAAAAAAAGAGTCAAGAGGAAGAGGAGCCTTGCAGGTAATGACGCTATCATTCTTTTATGTATTTATTCATTTAGGTGGCAGCTATGTCAGATGATATTAGAAGCTCTCAGTAACAGATATTCCTTCTAATTGCTAAAGGTTCTGGATTTTATTTATAGGCTTAGGAATTGTGTGTGTGTGTTATCCTGGATTGCAATGTAAAATGTGCTGCTTAATGTGGGTTGCTATTAAAAATGTTTGAAAGCACTTAATATTTTAGTGCATATGGTATGTCGGTGACAAAATATGATTTGTAAAACTAAATGATAGAAAAATAATAGAATTTTAAAGTATGATTCTACTTGGAATGCTGATGGGTTCTTCTGTTTTTTTTTGTTTGTTTGTTTGTTTTTTGTTGTTGTTGTTGTTGCATTTTTTGGCCGGGGCTGGGTTTGAACCCGCCACCTCCGGTGTATGGGGCCGGTACCCTGTTCCTTTGAAATACAGGTGCCACCTGAGTTCCTCTGTTTTTTAAAGAGAACATTAACAAAGCAATTGTTCTGTCATGAAAAGAAAATGGGGAAAATTTGAATTTTTAAAATTTGGACATTAATGACTATGTATGGTATAGAAATTACTTTTGTGGTATGGGGTAAGATAAATATTCTATTTTGTTAGATTTTGTTTTTATATTCTAGGAGATTCAGGTGTCTGGGGATTGAAAAAAAATTTTGCTTTATTGGAGCTTTTGGAACGACTGCAGAATGGACATATTGGTCAGTATGGAGCTGCAGAAGAAGCCATTGGGATATCTGGAGAGGTATTTATTGAACTTGGTGAAATATTTGTTATAAGCATGGATTTTTTTTTTTAATTTAAAGTATTTGTCATTAATAGCACAGTATCATCTCTTCTTCAGGAGGTAGATTTCTTTTTTTTTTTTTTTGAGACAGAGCCTAAAGCTGTCACCCTAGGTAGAATGATGTGGCATCACAGCTCACAGCAATCTCCAACTCCTGGGCTTAAGCAAATCTCTTGCCTCAGCCTCCCAAGTAGCTGGGACTATAGGCGCCCACCACAATGCCTGGATACTTTTTGGTTGTAGTTGTGATTGTTGTTTGGCAGGCCTGGGCTGGATTCGAACCTGCCAGCTCTGGTTATGTGGCTGGTGCCTTAGCTGCTTGAGCTACAGGTGCTGAGCCAGCAGGTAGATTTCTAGAAACACAACTTTTCATTACTTTACTGTGCTAAAGGCCACAGTGTTCCCAACAGAAGTAAAAGTAAAACTTGAATTCTTTAAAAATACTATGTCTAAACTGTTTATCAAACTTTCCTACTTATCATAATTTCATTCTTTCTATCCAAGGATAAAGTGAAAAGAGTAAGAAGATAGATGAGTAAGATGTATAAGCTACATTACAGTGAGGACACAAATGTAAATCAGTCAACAGTAAAGTACAATGAAAGAAAGAAAAAGTTCATGAAAGAGGCCTTTTAGTGTTGAGGTAAAATGCCTTAAAGTTAGCAATAGCTTCTGATGGAATTACTACTAATAAATACCATCAATGAAAGGTTAAATTATGTGTCGATAAAATTTCTATCCAGATGGCCAGATGTCTAATAAATATTAGAAAAATTCATTAACACTAGATTTTAACAATGTTAAAATATATGTTTAGTACTTAAAGTATTGTCACATAGCTGTATAATACAGGACATAGGTTTTTCTTAGACTTACATATATTAAGAACATTTACAGTAAATAACAGTTAATGATTTTGGTGGTCAACTTTAAAACTACATATTTCGTATTAAGGAAAAAAGTGTCAGATTGAATTCCAGTTCCCTTTTATTAGGTGATGATTTCTTTTTTTTCCTTTTGAGACAGAGTGTCACTGTGTTGTGTTTGGGAGAATGCTATGGCCTCACAGGTCATAGCAACCTCAGACTCTTGGGCTTAGGTGATTCTCTTTCCTCAGTCTCTCTAGTAGTTGGTACTATAGGTGCCCACCACAATGCCTGGCTATTTTTGGTTGCTGTTGTCACTATTTAGCAGGTTGGGGCCGAGCTGGAACCTGCCAGCCTTGGTGTTGTGGCCAGTGCCGTACTCACTAAGTAACAGGTGCTTCAGCCAGGTGATGATTTCTTTATATTAAAGTGAATCAGTGAAATGAATTTCAAACTATATCTGCATCTTTTATCTTTATGTAAAAAGACATTATGGACTGTATCATTATGGGCATTATGTGGCTGTATCTTTTATCTTTATGTAAAAAGACATTATGGACTGGGCACTGTGGCTCACACCTGTAATCCTAGCACTCTGGGAGGCCAGGCCAGAGGATTGCTGAGGCCAGGAGTTTTGAGACCTGCCTGAGCAAGAGCACTACCCTATCTTTCCTAAAAATAGAAAAATTAGCTGGGTGTGGTGGTATGTTTCTGTAGTCCCAGCTACTCAGAAAGTTGAGGCAGGAGAATTGCTTGAGTCCAGTAATGTGAGATTGTAGTGGGTTATGATGTTATACTCTAGCCCAGGCAACAGAGCAAAATTTGTCTCAAAAAAAAAAAAAAAAAGATGTTTGACAGACTGTTATCTAATGTTGATCTTGTAAATTTTTTTTTTTGAGACAGAGTCTCACTGTGTCACCTTTGGTAGAGTGCTGTGGTGTCACAGCTCACAACAACCTAAAACCCTTGGGCTTAAGTGATTCTCTTGCCTCAGCCTCCCAGCTGGGACTACAGGCACCTGCAACAACACCCAGCTCTTTTGTTGTTGTTGTTGTTATTTGTAGTTGTCATTGTTGTTTGGCAGGCCTGGGCTGGGTTTGAACCTGCCAGCTCTGGTGTATATGGCTGTCGCCCTAGCTGCTGAGCTATAGGAGATGAAACGACCTTGTAAATTTTTTATTTCTCAGATCTAGAAAGCAGAAGACATGAATTTTTTTATGGTACATGTATACATTTGTCATAATTACAAACAAAACTGCTCAACTTGATTCTCTTTTATTTAATGTATTAATGACATCATCAATGTGTTTTCTAATTTTTACTTCTGAAAAATTTTATACCAAATCTTTCTAGTTATGGCCTTTTAATATTCAGCAAATTGTTAAAGTCATTCTTGATTATCTGACATGTAATTTTTTACTTACTTGAAATACATTTTAGTTTTTGTTGAAAATTAGAGATAAAATTACATATAAGTTTTATTGTTTTTTGAATTTGCTTAAATTGTACATTAGATTCACTTGTGGAGCTATCAGAATATACTTGTATATATTTAGAAAAAAATATACAAGTCCAGGCTTCATCCACAACCTCTTAAAATAAGAATTTTCTAGGCTGGAGTCTGGGAATCTATATTTATAAAAGTCTCACAGTTATTTCTGATGCATCTCCCAGATTATCTAAGTAGTATTTATGCCTTTGACTTTTCTATGTATCATCATGTCAAGTAACATTTAAGGCAATGGGGATAGATAATATTTAATATCAGATGTTTTTAGTCTTATGTATAGTCTTATAAAAAGATTTCTAACCATGGTTTAGTAAAGTGGTAGAAAAGATCTTTGCATTGTGAGAATAATTTTGTTTTTGACCTCTAATTTATAACATATATTAACAGTCAAATTTAGAAATAGCCTCTCACTTACTCATAGAAATAAATATATCTTCAGATGCATGCTGAGTGACCATCATGCTTAATGGTATATTTTCATATATAAAGGCTAGTCAGTTAGAAAAGATTATGGGCCTCTTCTATATTTTAAAATTTGTCATCTTATACTGATTGGGTTCAATTTTAAGGCATTATTTTTTTGTTTGTCAGAGCATCATTCGTTGCGATGAAGATGAAACTCATGTTGCATCTGTATACTGTACTGTGTGTGCAACTCATTTGTGCTCAGAGTGTTCCCAAGTTACGCATTCTACAAAGACGTTAGCAAAGCATAGACGAGTGCCTCTTGCTGATAAACCTCATGAGAAAACCATGTGCTCTCAGCACCAGGTGCATGCCATTGAGTTTGTTTGCTTGGAAGAAGGTTGTCAAACCAGCCCACTCATGTGCTGTGTCTGCAAAGAATATGGAAAACACCAAGGTCACAAGGTATGAATTTAATTGAATTAGATAACTCTAGTTACCAGCTTTCACTTATTTTTATGACCTGGTTGTTTATATAAAAGGGATTGAGGAAGAATTAGGTGATGAATGAATTGAACTTGGTTGCATGAAAAGAAATGATAGATTTAATTTCTTTTTTTTTTTTTTGATTAGAGAGACATTTAATTTCTGAATGACAAATGTCATTTTAGAGAGGCCTCTTGATTCTTTGTTTACTGCAAAGTAGTTCTCCAGTGGGAAATAAAAATTCTCTTCTTTGTTTGCATGTTTTCATAACACACTGGATTATTTTGACAATATTTGTGTCTACCAGATTATAAACTATTATGATTATAATTTTAGAAGTAATCTCTTGATCTCTTGTTTAATAATAAATGGACTTCCACATTTTTAAATTATTTGTTTGTGGGACAAATAGTTTTCCTATGAAGAAGTAAAAGTGAGTTGGTGGTTTTTAATTTGTTATGCTGTGCTTTTTCTTTTCTTTTGAAACAGAGCCTCAAGCTGTTGCCCTGGGGAGAGTGCAGTGGCATCATAGCTCACAGCAACCTCCAACTCCTGGGCTTAGGCAATTCTCTTGCCTCAGCCTCCCAAGTAGCCCGCCACAACACCTGGCTATTTGTTGGTTGTAGTTGTCATTGGCAGGCCCAGGCTGGATTTGAACCCACCAGCTCTGGTGTATGTGGCTTGTGCCTTAGCCACTTGAGCTACAGGCATTGAGCCATGCTGTGCTTTTTCTAAATGTGTTATGAAAGCTACTTTGGGCTGATATTTCTTTGTATTAATGAAAGGATTTAAATTTTTTTTATATCATTAGTTAATGTATGAGTTATTTTCTATAATTATGTTGCATTTTGTAGCATTCAGTATTGGAACCAGAAGCTAATCAGATCCGAGCATCAATTTTAGATATGGCTCACTGCATACGGACTTTCACTGAAGAAATCTCAGATTATTCCAGAAAATTAGTTGGAATTGTTCAGCACATTGAAGGAGGAGAACAAATTGTGGAAGATGGAATTGGAATGGCTCACACAGAACATGTATGGATTTTTTTCCCTTTTTTTGCCTGCTTATTTGTTCTTTTTCCCTTTTCATCTTCCAGGAAATATTTATTAAACAGTTATAATGTGCTAGTACTGCACTAATTACTGGAAGTAAGTTTTTTAAAAAAGTCTATTCATTGAACTTAAAATCCGTTGTGCAAGAGAGATAGTTTGAAATACGTTAACTGTTTGTGAGGAAGTATAGGGATATTGGGGGAGACTGGGGATTAGGCACTCCATTTGGTTTGAGATGTCATTTATGTTGGATATCCAAAGTCTATAGTTGAAGATCTAGCATGGAAATTTAAATTTTGGAATTTAATACAGATCTATGCAGTCTATATTAAATTTTTAATATTTTACATATAAAATATTTGTTAAGTTTACAATCAATTAAAACTTGTTTGTATAGGTACCAGGTACTGCAGAGAATGCCCGGTCATGTGTCCGAGCTTATTTTTCTGATCTACATGAAACTCTGTGTCGTCAAGAAGAAATGGCTCTAAGTGTTGTTGATGCTCATGTTCGTGAAAAACTGATTTGGCTCAGGCAACAACAAGAAGATATGACTATTTTGTTGTCCCAGGTTTCAACAGCATGCCTTCATTGTGAAAAGACTTTGCAGCAGGTAGGTAGTTGAAGTGTGATTTGGAGCTTAGTTGTAAAGTTAAGTAGATAATTACCAGAGGTACATGCTAGTTTGTTTTGTCAATTTGATGAACATTTTTTCTTTGTTTGGGTTTTTTTGAGACAGAATTTTACTTTGTCACCCTTGGGAGAGTGCTGTAGCGTCATAGCGCACAGCAACCTCAAACTCTTGGCCTCGAGTGATCTTTTTGCCTTAGTCTCCCAAGTAGCTAGGACTACAGGCACCTGCCACAACACCCAGGTATTTTTAGAGAGAGGGTCTCGATTTGTATAAGCCTGGTCTCTGAACTCCTGAGCTCAAGCAATCCACCTGCCTTGGCCTCCCAGAGTACTAGGATTATAGGCATGAGCCACTGCACCTGACGTTGATGAACATTTTGTGTCTGCTGCATGTGTTGACCTTGCTCTTAGGACATGGTCTCTAACCTCAAATTGCTCTACTAGCCATGTCAGTGTCTTTTTCTTCAAATCCTCCCTTCTCCACTATGAAACCCTGGGTTCTAGACAGCTTCAAACTTCATGTCATTTTTTAGTCATTCCAAGTCCTTTTACTCCTTTTCTGCCAGACATATATGTACTATTCTTTTTGCCTGAAGTGCCTGTATCTCTTTTTCTCTCCTTCAAGGTTCAGCTCAAATGTTCACTCTTCTTTGAAGCTGCTGTCTTCCTTGGTCTTTTTGGGGGGTTATCATGGGAAGGGTGCCTGTCTAGCATATACTATCTACCTGTGTTCTAATTCAGTTGTTTTTTACATTACTATCATAGTAAACACACATTTTGTGATGGTTAAGGTATTATAAGCAATTACACAGTTTTCAGATTATTTACCTTGTAAATTATGTTATTATAAATTTAGTAATTAGATTATTCTAACAAAATGGTTAGTCTTAACACATTTTTTTCTTTTGTGTGTGTGTGGCTCAAACTAGAATAGTCCTGGTTAGTCTCAGTCTTACACATTTCTGTTTTATTTGATTTTTTTTTTTTTTTAGA